TTGACCGATTCATAACACTATTTGATTAGAGGAAAAGTAGATGGCAACCCAATGTGCTTAAAGAAAAATAACCTAATAAGGTTTTTCGAAACCTCTTAGATCTTTAGAATCTCATGAGGTTGGCTATACGAAAAGTCAAAGATTTTGTCAATAAAATATTTGTTTATCATTAAAATGAAAAAGTTATCTTTTGAAAAAAAAATGAAATTTGAAAAAATAGTAAATAACTTTTTAGTGTTTTCCAAGATCTTTTAATTTTAGGAAGTGTGCCCAAAATTCACGACTTCTAGGTTAACTGCTGCCAAATGCATATAAATTTGCTTTTTTTTTTAATTTTCATTTTAAGGAATAGAGAAATATTTTCAGATAAAATGCCACATTGGTCCTTAATTCCCACGAGTTAAGATGAAAATGCCGTTTTTAAATCATTCAAAAAGTAAATAAATAAATAGTATAGATCTTTTCTTTAGTCAATAAGGAAGTTTAACAGGGAAGACACCTACAGTGTGGAAAGGCACATTATCCTTGCCCATAAATTGAAAAAGCTCCACATTTTCTGGATTCTTCCACCATTTCTCCCATTCATTTGTGTAGCATGATGTAATGGAGACGTACCCTATAGGTGCATCAAACCAGACATAGAAAACCTAACAAAATTGAAATGGAAATTAACAAATATTTGGATACTCGTCTAACTATTACAATTATAAGATTGAAATGACAACTAACCTTGTCCTTGAACTTTTCAAGTGGAACGGGGACCCCCCACTTAAGATCTCTAGTAATACACCGGGGTTTCAACCCTTCCTTAAGCCAAGCATTTGTTGCTTGAATAGCATTTTGGCTCCAAGAGCCAGCTACAGACGTCTTGTTGATATATTCTTCCAGTTTAGCTCTTAGCAAAGGAAGTTCAAGAAACATGTGGTCTGTATCACGGATACGTGGAGTTGTTTGACAGACCTATTTGCCAAATATTAACACTAAGTCGCAATCTTAGGGGAAATAATGAACTAACTGGTAAAATCAAATACCTAAAAAACTATTACAGATGTTATTGAATTACACTACTCATTTTAACTTTTGTTTTCTTTAGCTATAAACATGGCTTTATAGACAAGCCAAGCAAATCCATCAAGTACCTTGCATCTGGGGTCTTTCAATTCAGTTGGATTTAGAAGTTTGCCACACTTTTCACACTGGTCACCACGTGCAGAGTCATAGTCACAACCTGGAGTGGGACAGATTCCTTCAACGAGCCGATCCGCTAAAAATCTCTTACAAGTATCGCAGTAAAGCTGAATTATGGTAAATAAATACCCAGCATGAAATCAGTGAACAGAAGTACAGCAGCACAAGTACATGCAACCATAAGTAACCAGAAGATCAATATAACAGCCAAGTAATAAATAACTATGTACCTGTTGCATTGTGTTCTCAGAAAGCCAATTGTTCTCCAACAGTTTGCCAAATATTTCTTGGCAAACTTCAGTCTGCTGTGGAGATGATGTCCGCCCAAATTCATCAAAACTAATACCAAACCAATTATAAACTTCTTTGTGAATTGCGTAGTACCTAACAGTGCAGAAATAGTTAAACAAGGTCCAAATCTTTACCAAGATAATATAATTCAAGTCTAAGCAGGTAGTGGCATTCAAGAAAGGAAGAGAGAGATTGCAAGGCCCCAAAAATAAAAGTTCATTCTGAAAAGTCGTTTAAGGGTACAAGTACATATGATTCAGCCAAATTAAACCATTATGGAGTACAGAAGAGATAGACTTGAAAAATGCTCCTCGAAATTACATGCATACAAAACCCAGAACCATACAACATCATGTGAATATGAAAAAAATCCATGAAGCAAATTTGAACCAACTATCTGAGTCCAGAAGACATCTAGATTTCTATCTGTTTTAAGAAGAGAAGAGAATTTTAAAATTGTAATATTTACGGAAGTATACACTATCTACTAAATGAGCTATAGAAAGCCGAGCGAACTATTTTCCTGAATCACAGACGAAGGCAGTTACCGCCAAAACTGAAGAGATACTTGACGAGTAGAAACCTGAGAAAAAATCTTACTTGTCACAGATTTCTTTAGGAGTACATTTCTCTTCCATGGCTTTCGTCTCCGTCGCCGTTCCATACTCATCCGTTCCACATATATAAATCGCATTGTAACCTCTAATACGACAGTACCGAGCAAAAACATCAGCACTCAACACACCTACACAAATAAAAACAGAATCAAACCAAAATTCTATACACACACATGTTACATATAAAATCAATCCAGTAAGTATAACAGGATATTGGAATCAAATGCAAACAAAACATATCATTCAACCTTCAACAATCAACTCAAAAGGCGACAGAATTCTTCAAAAATCTCCATTCAAGAACCAAACAGCAGACAATTAAAACTCCAACATTCATAAACTCGAAGAAACAACACAATTCGTAATTAATCAAACTGAAACACACGGAGGAAAGACATATACACAAGTGAAAGAACATTACAGCCAATGATGTTGCCGAGGTGAGGAACGTTATTGACGTATGGAAGAGCGCTGGTGATGAGAATATTCCTCTTTCCGGCAACCGGAAGCTTTGTGACCTTCGTTCGGCCGCCGCCGGCGTCGCCTGAGACGTCTCCCATCACTATCAATCCGTCGGAAAAACGAAGTTACTCCTCGTTTAGATACCTTCGCCGGCCGGAATCGAGAGGATGAAGAGCAGAAATGGAGAATTTCGGAGGGCTGCGCTTCGACTTGGAAACAGGGGTGAGTGGGCGCTAGAAGAAGAAGTTGCGCCCTCCTTTTGCCATGTTTTTTCTTTTTCTATTGCTTTTTTTTTCTCGAAAGAATTTTCTGATTGGTTATTTACTTACTTTTTCGGCAAGAATGCATCTTATTTTCCTATAATGGTTTGATTTTTCTTCACCTGGAAAATCTTAGATTAAAAACATTTTTATTGCAAGTTTTGTTTTTCGTAAAAAAATAATAAATAAATAAGGCAGTCGTGACTAAATAGAAACCTATATTCAAAACTCAGGGATTGTAACTGTATTTAATTCAAAAGAATAACAATAAACCTTTTATAAATACAAAATTAAAATAATATTTAAACCTAAAATTTTAAATGAAACTATAAATTCTCTCTAAAAAATTTCAAATTTTGTCATAAATGGGGACAATTGTATTTATTCAGTTATAAGTTGTCAAATTTTCAATTTCTACTAGATTTTTTTTATCGTGGAAGTCTTTAAATTGTTTTTTTTAAATGTTATTGCTAATTTTAGATCCTCCCCTATCAACTATCATCACCTTTATTCACTTGTCTATATTTCATAAGAATATTGTTCCGTCTTTATACTTTTAAAGTATAATAGCTAAATCATTATAAACAATTCGAACATAATTTAATAGTTAAGACACATATTACCCATTTTCAAGATAGACAAGTTTTGTCCCCATTTCGCAATTGTTGAATAAAAAAATTAAATTCTTTCCTACTAAATATGAAATCTAAAATATTGATATAAAAAGCATATATTTTGACTTTATAATAATTTTATTTTTTCGAAAACTAGATCTAAAAAAAAAGATTGAGAATAAAATACCCTCAATGTTCTTTCACCATATTGAGATACCCTCCCCATTAGAGGATTCCTAAAAATATAAACCCACTTTCTCAAAATATCCTCCATTTTGTTCTTGCATGTTGAGATGCTAAGAATACATTCCATATATCAATACATCAAATAATGCATCTTTAATTAGTTGCAAATATTTAGGAGATAATTTATATATGTCATAACTTATAAATTCTAATTTCTTTAACAGAAACAAGTAAAAAATAATAATCCAATAAATCAAATTAAGTTACGATAACCTGAACACGATTCAATTGATCAAGACATCAATTTACGGCTATAAGATCGTGAATTTGAATCTACACCTCTATATTTTGTACTAAAAAAAATTATTCCAATATTTTTGATGAACAAGATTGAGAAAATACTATTTTGATTGAATATTTGATTTAATCTTAGTTGTTTGGCTCATGTTTTTTTTTGGTCAATATAGTACATACACCTATCATTATTAAAGTAGAGAACCTTTGCAACGGGTGAATATTTTTTACATCCAACCAATAGGTACTCTAATTGTTATTCTTGTGATAGGTTTAATCGGTATTTTATTTTAGCGTTCATATTTTGGATTGTGTTCATCCTTAGTTCATTGAGACATAAAAGCGTCAAWATATATATATATATATATATATATATATATATATATATATATAAAAAAGAGAATCCAGTGAACTAAATCTACATTTTTTTAGTATCTTATTCTCATAGCATTTATAATAATGTTTATGTATTTTTTTTATTATTGTTCCTCATTTTAAAGAATAATATATGAAATCCACCTGTCACCTAACTTAATGGTTCGTTGATTAATTATAAATAAACTAAACAAATTTAAATTAATAAATAGATTAAATATATAAATTCCTTTGTTACCTAAATTTAGTAACTAATATTTTAACACTATAATGTCATTATATGTTTGATTCTTCCCTTTTGTCACTAAATAGTTCTAAAAAAAATTGTTTTAATTTAAAGTTGTTGAGTAACCTCTCTATTTCCATCTGACATTTCTTGAAATAAATTAATTTAACCACTATTTATTAGACTATGATTTTTATTTAAAATGGAKGGTGGAAATGGAATATTTTTATTTCACAGAAATTTATTTTTACACGAACAATAGCAACTACAATATAACTCAATCAATCCATCGTATATATATATAAAATATATATGAATGGAGATTTGAATTTCCAAATAGTAATAATAATTAAAAAAAATTAACAAGTGAAGAGAGAGAGAGAGAGAGAATTGATGTTTGAAAATCCAAAAGGAATTCAATCCTAAGCTATAGAGGACACGAGTTTCCACCTGTGTCCTCAACGGATTAACTAATAAACACAGAATCTCCAACAATCGCAAGTTCTTAGATTGAACAACTAAAAAACTATACAGAACAAGGAGAAGAAAAGAAAAACAGACGAAACCAGTTTCAATGGCAACTGGAAGAGCTCAGATTTTGGAAGCAGACAATGAAACTTGCTTCAAAGCACTGGCAATCTCTTCAGAATTTGCATCCCCGTTAACAAATTTCACCAGAGGGCTCTCACCAGGAACAATGTCATCCCTTGCATAGCTTCCCGACGTCCTCAGCAGCTCTTCCGACCCCTTGTTCGTCATCCCTTTCATGATTATCGTCTTGTGAGTCCCCGATATCATCTCTTCGTAGTCGGTGTCCCCGACCTCCCCGAGGAATACGTACATGTTCGAAACATTCAGTCTCCATCGCACGAAAAGATACCTACGGTCGACATGAAAAGAATGCAGTTGAGATCATCATATCATTTTATATGTACTAGGCTAACTAGCCAAAATGATCTGATGAAAGAGTGGAGTGTAGATTTCGGGCAAGCGACAAGAGCAAAAACGAAAAAGATCAGAAGTTAGAGCTCGTTTGGTAATGTCTTCTTTCTCTTTCCCAAATTTTATTAAAAAAACCTAAGCATTTTACAACTATTTATGTTTCTTGTATCTATTTTTTAGAAACAATCCAAACAAATTTCTTGTTTCTCGTTTCTAATCGGCTACAAAACATAAATATAAATATTGTTTGTTCTTGGGACTATATACAATTCTACTTTTCTTTATTAAAAGCAAGAAACAAAAACAAGAAATAAAAACGTAACCAACCGGCTCTTAAAACCTTTTTATGGACTATATTGAATTTGTATGTTGTCAAACCTGAGTGCTTGTGCTCTAGATGCGAGTAAAGGAACGACTTGCATTCGCGTCGAGGTTCTACAATACATGGGATGGCACCGGAGCCCACGCATTCGAAGCTTCTGCCTCAAATCGTCAACTTTCATAGCCTAAAAAGAAGAAAAGAAGAAAATTCTTTGTTAAACTGAATCCAAAAGCTTAAAGATACTCTCAAGTAAAGCTACATTACCCTGCTAGGATCCTTTATTATGTAGGAGATGCAATGTGCATTACTTGATTTTCCATCCTCCTGAATTGGACTATGAGACTTTCCAGAATCCTCATCAGAAGCATTCAACAACTTCCGAATCGTTTTCTTCAAACCGTCGCATCCCCAACGGTAGTCGATATGCGATGCATAATCTGGATCCGGGTACAGTTTGCCATCTTCTTCTGTGTAAGAAGCTGGATAGTAAACCTGACTTCCACTGCTGCAGATTATAGCATCAAACTCGTTGAGTTGTATTTTTCCAGACCTTAAGAACTCTGCAGTCTCTGCCAATGGCATGGCTGTTGATAGAGCAAAGCCTGTAAACCGTGCAACTTGAGTGTCGAGTCGACCAGCTTTAATAATTTCCTGCAACATCTGGATCATCTTCTTTTCTGGAGCCCCATTGGTGTCATAGCAGTCAAGTGCTACGACAATCAACCTCCGCCGCCGTCTCAAAATCGGAAACTTTCCAGGGATATTCTCCAGCATTTTGTTCCCTTTTTCAGTCTCTGTTGGTTCAGTCCCCGACCTCTTTATCTTGCTCAAAACTCGCTTCACTTGGTCCTGCACATCAGGGTTGTCACTGGATGCAGCTATATCGATTGATGCATTCAGCGACGACTTTTCTCCATCGATCGAAAGTCTAAGCGACATATCTTGCACGTCCTTAAGCGAATCATTGAAGGATTCCTCTGTGGATATTTCGTCCCCTGGGGTGTCGGTTTGCCATTGCGGGTGCCTCATACGGCAGGCTGCCACTCGAGTCAAGTACGTGCGACAATGTGCGGGCCACGAGAAGAGGTGTATGTTTCTCAAACCATTTTTCCTACAGTCATTCCACAAGTTCTTCTCTGATAGCAATTTCAGCAGAGCATCAGCAATTGCTTGCTGATCATGAGGGTCAACAAGCAGACCATTGTTCAGGGCCTAATATCACAAAAACAAAGTTCATATGCTTACTCACATTTATTAAAGTATCATAAAAGATTAAATTCATCGCAATCTAAACAGCATTTTCAAGTCAGGAGTATTAAAGTATTTACCTTGAGCTTTTCAGTTCAGTGATGATCATTAAAACATGGTGTATAAGTAACAATATAAGTTCATGATAAGAATTTGAGATCAGGTTTTCCTTACTCGATGAATGTCGACTGGTCCGCCGTTTTTAGTCGCCACCATTGGGAGCCCGTGTGCAGCAGCCTACAATAAGTCAAAGGCATAAATCCAATCAGGTTTTCACTCGTTCAAGAGAGATCAGTAAATCACAGAACACATCATATGATAACTGGAAAAAAAAGGAAAAAGAAAAAGAAAATCAACCTCAATCAAGGTAAGCCCGAACGGTTCGACCAATGCTGGATTTATGAAAACTCCCTGGCATAATTTCAAATGACGAGTTTATGTTTCATCGGTGATTGTAATGGTTAAAAGGAAGCTAATGTAGACTCATGATCTCAAACAAACCTTTGTTTTTGCTGCAAGGCGATATATGTCTGGAACATCAGACTGCTTATGATGCTTTGGATACGCCACTTGACCGTAGAGATCGTATTTGTCGATAAATTTTATTACTGTCGTGAGAACGCTAGCGTTACCGGCCGACATCTCGTCGATATCATCCCTATTCCCCATGATCAGTGTCTACAGAAGAAATAAAAACGTGTGATTTATCACAAGACACCTTACCATATTGTTCACTGATAACCAAACTATGTTATTGCACAATTCTGCTTACTAGATTAGCAAGTTCTCTCAATGGACGACACTCGCCAAAGGCTTTCAAGAGAGTGGTTATATTCTTCTTCGGGTCCGGCCTCGACAATGCCAATATCATAGGTTTGTGAGGATTTGTAAGAAAACGCATCACCTATCATACACAATATATAACTTGAAGGGAGAAGTAATAATCTAATGTAAGAGAGTTTTAGTAAGTTTGAAAAGGAAAGTAGATCAAAATTTGATACTCACTTCAGACCATATCGTTGGAATTGCTTTTGGAGAGGACCCGTCACTTGTAAGTTGTGTCAATTCGCCATCAGCCTCGGGCGCATCTTCAGGAACCACGACATTGCTGAAATCCATGCCAGGAGGAATGACCTGCCAAGAACTTTAATCTTGAGTTCTTCATTAGAATGTCCTAAAAAGTAACATATTGCAAGAATCTGCCATTTTACATGTTTTACTACTTCCGGTAAACTTGGTAACAAAATATGAAGAAACTGCAAATCTTACCACCATCCTCGGCATGTATCGACCATGACAATTGACCCCACGTCGAGCACGTGCACGCAACACTTTCTCGAGTTTGACATCGAATCCATCGTAAAGTCCCCATTGCTCCTCAATCTCCTGTTTGGTGCTTGTGATCACAAGTTCTGCAGCATCAAGAGAAAGCTCTTCTGCTTCTATCCTCCTCATTATCTTATAGTTTGAGTTGATATCTTCTTTCGATTGGCGTCCCTGCTTAAGAAGCTGTTCGAGTTTGTTTCGTCCTAGTGAGTGTCCGGTCAGCACCATCGGGACATTCAAAGCACCCGAAAGAAGAGCAACGCTATCTCCAGCATCAGCATAATGTCCATGGATGACATATGGCCACACAGGCTGACCACCACCAATTTGTTCACCTAAAGCTTTTGACATATTAAGAACATGAGCTAAAGCTCCATCTACAAACTCTTGAATATGGGGCCAAAGTAATTCTTTGCGGAGATATTTATCCCGTGGACCAAACGGAATCCTGATGATATATGCTCCGCTGCTTTCTCCGACATCGCCATCTCCATTGTCAATACCCATAGTTAACATCTCAGTTGGCTCGCCATAGCTCCAATCAACTTCTAGTGACAAGATCTGCCGAGTAAAAAGGTCCACCCTATATACCCCCGGCATTTGTGCTAGAGCACGAGAAAGCTCTACAACATACTTGACCTGAAAAATGTTTGCTTTTAGAACAATGAGACACCATTTGAACAATATCAGGTCATACAAATCTAATCTAAGCATCATTTAAAACTTTTCTCCTAGTGACATCAGTCTGCACCTGTCCACCAGTGTCGGAATCACGACCGAGCTCCATGTTATCGCCCCGAACCAAACCGTGCAAGCTGGCAACGAAGATCACACAAGAATGTTGGAGGATAAACATATAGTTAAGTCATGTAGGTGCCTTGTTGAATTAGATAAATGAGTACCTGATGAGAATAATATAAAGTTTACTTTCCTTTTTATCTTCCGACCAACCTTCAAAGTTGGAAATGGTCCTCTGGAACGCTACTTTCGGGGTCTCGCCATGCACGAGTTCACTCACAGCATCCCCCTTTTCTCCTTCTGATAAGTCCTCCGACATATCTTCCGTTACATCCATCCGTCCTTGTTCCCGCTCCATTTTTCGATTTGTGAACCGTTGAAGCTCCTCCCATTCCAACTGTACACAACAAATTTTGATTGCACCAAGTAGCAATCAACAACAGAAAATGTTGTGTTTATAATAATGCTAGTTCAAGATGAAGCTTGCATCCATAGAAACTACTCACTCTCTTTCTTGTAAGTTTGCATAGACATCAGAAACAAAAATGTAGAACAGATTTTTAAAGCTTTCATAGACATCAAAAACAAAAATGTAGAACAGATTTTTAAGAGCTTTCATAGACGTCCTATAGTTTCTCTAAATGCAAAAAGTATTTAGCCATTGCAGGCAAAAGAACATAAAGTACAGAAGCACATTGCAAACTTTGCAAACTCATTGTGATAATGCAATATCATAATATATAGTTGTTAGGCTTTTGTAACAATTTAGCCTTCTTTGAAAAATGTAATAATCAGCCATTGCAATTGAGTCATAAGGTTGGGGCAGAAAATTGAATCACTTTTAATTTTGGATCCTAGGAGGTTCCTTAACTTGCCCATATTTCATGCCTAAGTTGTTTTCCAACAAAATAAAGACCAAATAGTTAAATCGCCATTCTAGTGGCAAAACTTTTATATTGGTTTAAATTTGGCTCCCAGTCCCAAAATTTTCTTTATGATTTGGGTTAAATCTCTTAATGTCCACCTAAACTATATCCCGTGGATTTGAATTTTATCCCGTGGATTTGAATTTCCGCCCACATGTGTCCTAAAAAGAAAAATAGTCTTATTGATTTATTGATTTATTTAAATTTGATTTCGTGCTTTTAAAAGTTTCAAATTGATTAGTTATCTTACTAATAACGAAGGTAGACCTAGAAAGAATTTGTTTTTTTAGTACAGAGCTAGAAATTTTCATAAGGGGCCAATTTTGACATTTAATTTTTTTTATATACATTGTATATAGTATTTTACTTCTAAAACGGAGCAAAGCTGAAGGAAAAAACTTTAAAATCAACTTTTCAAAATAACCTTTTGAATGTTTAAGACAAATCCGACAATTACTACCTTCCTTCCTTACCCCACCTTTATCAAGACATCTAAATGATTTTTTTTTTTATTTTTTCGGAGAGAATCGAAATGAAATTATATTGGACTATATAACATCAAATTAAAGGTTAAAATACTATTTTGGTTCAGATATCTTGAGTTTTGATTCATTTTGATCCTTGTATTTTTAAAATATTCATTTTTGTTCCTATATTTTGAGCTTTGGTTCATTTTGATCCCAGTACTTTAAAAATATTTGTTTGTCTCTATATTTTAAAAAAATAACCATATTGGTCCCTTAATTTTGTTTTTAATATATTTTTTTCTACCTTAGTTTCAACATGACACTATACTCACTATATTTATTGAAATGTAACAATGATTTTGTATTAAAGTGATTTTGTTAGCCAAACTGAGCATAGCTCAAATGGTTAAGGCACCTATCTCTAACCAGAAGGTTATGAGTTCGAATCCCACCCCCACAATGTTGTACTTAAAAAAAAAAGTGTTTTTGTTATGTATAATTTTTTTTAAAATTTTGTTCAAATAGAGGCAAAAACGATCACTTTTTAAAARCATTTTGGATGTATAGAGTGAATCAAAGTTGAAATTACATTACCAAAATGAATGAAAGCTCAGCCAAAATATTATTATAACCAAATTAAATGGAGGCCTTAAAATTATAATTGAATATTTATTTTAAAAATATATAGAATACGACAAAAAACTCAGCCACTCCTCAAACGGCTTGTGGGTAAGCTCTCCGTCATATTTCAAAGATTCTAATTTCTAACCAATAAATGAGTAGAAACAAACGATGCGATACGGCCATCATCCAATCAAACGAACCAAAATCTCTCCAATCACATCAACGGCGGAAAAGCAAAAGAAACAAAGCCACATATTTTTCCAACAGAGATAAAACAAAAAGCTAAATTCCCTATAATTTGAGCACAATTGCACTATGATTTGAATTTAATTTATCACCGTTACGAGACATTACCAAGTAAAATATAAACATGTTAGTCATTTATTTATTTGCTTGTTGAATTATATTTTCAAGTTTAGTTTAAAAATTCCAACAGTAACGAGCTCGCTAAATATTGTTTCTCCTACCATTAAAAAATGTGACAGATCTAAGGATAAGATCCCTCCACTTTGAAGGAGTAAGTATTTCTCGAGACCCTATTAAAACCAAAATCCAAATTATAGGGGCAAGTCGAGAATGGTTTATGGACCATTTGTGAAGTTTAAACCAAATAATCCGAGTCTTTGATGCTAAATGTCATTGCTTCAGCGAAACCGATTTAAAATCATAATTAACCAAATTGAGAAATTCAAATTAAGATACTAAGTAAGAAACGGGAGAGGGGTCAAATTCGTAATTTAACCTAAAATGAAAACCAATCACGAGAAAGAAAGCCAAACAGAAAACAGAGAACAGAGAAGTTTGTCACGAAAATCATCGCTGTTTCTGTTCATCACGAAAAAGAGAGCGCAAGAAAGAAGAAGAAGAAGAAGAACCTGCTTCTTCTTGCGCGTGAGATGCCAAATCCTCCAGCACATATTCTCGAGCCTGGAGCTCCGCTCGCGCGTGTTCCTCGTCGCGACGACCTTGAGCCATGTCCGATGAAGGTCCGATTCATCGACGCCGCTCACCACTTCCTCCACGAAGTACTTCGTCGGATTAAAATGGCCTCTGTCCAGATTCGCCGCCGCCGGCTTCTGCTCTTCAATGGCGGACGCACCGGTGTCCAGAATCGCCTCCAAATAGCCGTTTATCCACTCGTTCCCCGCCATTTTTTCAAATCTCGATTCGATTCAGAGGATCGTGTATCGATCTCGAAAACAGGAAACGGAGGGAAATAGAAGTTCTCGGTAATTACAGAGTGGAGTGGAGATGAGAGAGAGAAAGTACACGTGGCGGAAGGTTGTGGCGGAGGTTGCGGCGGTGGTTACGGCGGAGATGGGAGCGCGGGTGACTGTGAGAGTTTTTCACTATTTCCAAGGTTGTGCGTATCCCTATGCGCAGTTGCCGCTTTCGCTCTCTTATTATACTTCTCCCTCTCCCCCTCTAACTGAATCAGTTTTTGTTTATATTCTTGCCTGGAAACTAGGAAAGTAATTTTAAAATATTGTACTTTTAGAAAAGGGTGCAGCAACCGTCCGTATTAAATTTCCGTCGACACGTATACATTTCTATCAATATTTCGACAGCGAGAAGTGAGACATTTTTAGTAACAATAAATTATAAAATATATTTGATTTCTATACTTTTATTAAAATGACGATCTAACTTGCCCCATCACTCTTCTCCTTATTAAAAAATAGTAGATTAAAGAAAACATAGTTCAGCGGTAATCGATATATATCTCCGACTAAGAGGTTGTGAGTTCGATCCCACACCCCATATATTGTACTAAAAAAGGACTATCTAGTTCTTGAATTTTGGTTTATAACGGTTCAGTACACATACTTTGAAATTGATAGTAATGACTAAATGGTTACCAATTTGAGACTTTAAGGTGATAGTTGTAAACTAAAATTTAAAGAACTAAATTATTACTTCAACCAAAGTATGCATTTTTAACAAAAAAAGAAAAGAAAAGAAAAAGAAATATATCATTAATATACACACCATATTAATATCAATAAATTTTAAAGATAAATATTTATTTACTATTTTAAATGTTTGTTATAATTTTTAATTTTTATAGGCTTTTTATTGTGAAGTTTAACTATTGAAAATTTTAAAACTACGAACTAATATGAAACTTTTAAAATCAAATACACTTCAAATTTTAAGCATCAAATTTTATAATTTAGCTCATTATTTATATAATGATAATTTCGAAATATTCATAAAATTGTAGTAGCAAATTGTCGTTGGAGCACCTTTTCTTGTCTCAACGTAAATGTAATTTATGCCCGAAAAGTCGTGTTTTGAAGATTACCACATCTATGAAAACTAAATTCTTACACAAATTTTATGCCTAATGTATATTTAATACAAATTTATATTTAAAAAATTTTAGTTAATATATTGTCATGCAAAAATTATAAGTAAAAGAAATAAGATAAAAAATAAAAATAAAGAGATTAATATAGTCACTTTTTAGAAGTATATGAATTAAAATAAAAGTTTTAAAATTATATGAACTAAAATAAAGAAAAATTTGAAAGTATATAGACCAAAATAAATATTTAAAAATATATTAACCAAAATAAATCAGATCAGTCGAAAATTATAAATATCATGATAGAATTTAAAACTATTTATTTTAATATACAGTTAACTAATTTAAACTTATTTAATAATCCTTTCGTTTTCAATTTTCAATTGTTTGAAACTATTCTTACCTTTCATTAATTTCTTTAATATATTTTAACTTTTTACAAAATACATTTAAATATTTAACCAAACTAAAAAAAGGAAAATCTTTTTGAGAATATATACTTTTTAAAATTTCAAAATTTGACTTAGATCAGTTTGTTTCTTAAAATATGATTCAATGAATAAAAGTAGTGTTTAGAAGCTTAATTTAAAATAACAATCGAACAATTCTTAAGAAACGGTGAATAACTCAGTACCATTTTTGAAATTTGTGTAAACACTTTATTCAAAATAATATTTTAAAAGTAAGTTAGCTATGTAAACAATATTAATATATATATATATATATTTTTGTCCACTAAAATATTTTCCCAAAATATTTAAACATTAGTAATGTGAGGAAAGAAAAAAGAATAATGAATTTATTCTTAAAACATGTATATACATAACATCTTTGTAAAAATTTTTGAGATATTTTTTTTAGCTTTTATGCCATTAAAACTGAGATATACTAATTTGAAGTGTCTTATATCATCCAAATGTCTACAATGAATACATAACTAGTTTCCTTATTAGGTCACTTTATTTTTAGTCTTATATGCAAATCATTTTAATTGTTATTATGAAAGTTTGAAAGAATTTTAAAATAAGGTTAAATACTACTTTGGTCTATGTATTTTGATTTTGGTTCATTTTGGTTTTATACATTAAAAATATTTATTTTGTTCCTGTATTTTTAATTTTTATTTATTTTAGTCTATATATTTTTAAAAAGCAATCATTTTGCTCTCTATTTGTAAAAGTTTAATACAAATTTTATACATAGTGGGGAAACCATTTAATACAAATTTATGGTTACGTTTCAAGAAATTTAGTCAGTAAAATGTCATGTTAAATTTTTTATCAAAATAAATGAGATAATAAAAAATAAAGGGAGCAAAATGATCACTTTTTTAAAGTATAGAGATCAAGCTAATGTTTCCAAATACAAATTTTAAAATAAACGAAAATTGAAAGTACAAGGATTAAATAGACATTTTAAAGACACATTAATAAAAATAAACTAAAACTGAATTATTTAAACATTTTAAAAAAAACAAGGGAATAAAAATAAAATTTAAAATATAATAACTGAAACATATTTTCATTAAACTTTTATCCTAGAAAGCATAAAACTATATTTCTTTTTTCTTGCTACTGACCTGAGAATTTAAACTCACATCCTATAAGTTGGAGATAAGTGCTTAACCAATTAACTGCACTCGATTTGACAGATAAAACTATCTTTCAACTCTCAGCTTTTTAGAAAGTTTTTTTTCCCAGAGTTTTAATAAGTCTTTATTAGCTAAGCTTAGGTTGGGAGGCCTAATAGTCCATTTATAAAAATTAGGTTAAAATTTATTTTTCGGTCCAGGTAAGTTCTTTGAAGTAATAACTTAGTCCATAAAGTATATAGGTGTTTTAACCATTTGAGCTATGCTCGGTTTGACATAGTTTAATTAGTTAAGACAACTATAACTAGTTAAATTATCAAATATAGATAATATATAAAAATATATTATCTTATATATTTGTGTCAATCTATTGCACCTATCTCTCAACTAAAAGGTGGTAAATTCGAATCTCTACTCTCGTTATGCCTATGAAATAGAACTAATATTCTATTTTTGTTCATATACTTTCAGCTTAAGTTAATTTTGGTTTATGTACTTTCAAAACGTTCATTTTGATCTTTATATTTAAACTAATCGTTGTGGTCCATTCATTTAATTTTTTCATCCCATTTTTTCCAATCACAATTTCAAGGACACTACACTCAATATATTTATTAGAATGTAGCCTCAAGTACTTTCCATCAAAGAATTTTCATTGTGCATAAAATTTGTGTTAATATTTTACCAACAATGACTAAAATAGTCATTTTTTAAAAAATATAAGGACCAAAACAAACCTTTTGAAAATATATGAATAAAAACTAAAAAGTACGGACATTAAAATATAATATTTCAACCTATCAAACACTGACTCGACTTTCAATTCCAGAGTCACACAAGCCTAACACCACCAAGTTGAAACCTTCTCACAAAGAAAGCAACATTTTTCTCGTCTTCTTCTTTCTCTCCTTTGGCCTTTACGCGTGTTGCATTTAGAAGCAGCGCTTAGGCCAAAAGCGCTTTCTTTTGCAAAATACATTAAAAATGGAAAAAAAGAAAACTTGACAAAAATTAACTCATTCTCCTTTCCACACGGCCTTCTACTTCTATTCCCTTTTTGATTCTTCTTTATTGCAAGATGTCACAGGTGGTGGCATTGAGTTTAAAAGGAAATTGCACACTTTCCTTGAGAGTAAAATTAAGCTTTCTTCATGAAAAAGAAAGAAAGAAAAAAATCTCTCTTTCCATCCGCTGTTGGATCTTTTCCTCGTTAGGTTACGAGTTTTGTCTTCGCCTCTAAACTTTAGATAGTGTGTAAAAGCTTGGAATTATGTTTATTTTTAGTTTATATCTTTTGATACTCGTTGATAAAATACAAACTTATAGTATGTTTGGGATGAGTTTTGAAAAAAAAAAAAGAAGCTTTTTAGATAAAACTATTTTTTCTATCCCTACTTTTTGAAAAAATTGTTAATTTCAAGGGTGTTTTATATATACTTTTCTAAGTGATTTTAGATAACAAATAGTGTTTTTCATGAAATTTACAGCGTTGGATAATAAATAAAAAAAATATTTTAAAAAATTGAATGATTTTAAAAACCCATTTAAAGAAGAGATGATTAATCAAAACATATTAAAAAAATGGTTAAATGATTAAAATATAGGTCAAATTCACCTTTAATAAAAGTGTTTCATCACACTTTAAGTGATTTTTTAAAGCATTTTAAAATTTTCAAAAATCCTTTTATTATCTAACCAAACACTTGGTTGGTTTTGAAAAATATTTTTAATTGGTTGGAATTAATTGTTCCTTTTTTCTAAAAAGTTATCTTAAATTAGAAAAGATTCTTTCAGTTCACTGTCTTAATCGTGCAATGGATTCTTTATCAATTATTTTATTGTTAAATTACATATTTAATGATGGAATGTACTTGGATTATTTAGTCTCTAAATAAATTTTTTTTTATTTATGCCTCAAAATTTTAAATTATATTTATCATTAGTTTAATTTAAAAAGGAGAAGAAAGGATTGGTTTATCATGTGCAAACAAAGTCTCACAAAAGTGATTTATATTTTATATAGACAGAGACAATTATCTCAATGGAAGACATTTAAAAAGCAGTCGTGAGAGTTATGTCAAAACGGACAATATCATAACATTGCGTCGGTTTGATCTTTTAACCCACCATTCCAATCCCACTATGAATTTTCTTTATTTGTTGTACACTTTTGGCCACAAGGTGGAATTGGAGCTAGTCATTTTGCCAACATTGATAGATACTAGAATGGAATTTTGGGATGTGAAAGTTTTATAATTATTATGTTTTGGTTTTTTTCATTTTTAAATATTTTATCTCATCAATAAAATTTGTATTAATTTTTAAGTTTAAATACTATTTTGGTTTTTATATTTTTAAATTTGGTCCATGTATTTTTAAATTATTTATTTTGTATCTGTATTTTTTAACTTGTGTTCATTGGCCTGATATGTGACACTATCCTCACAAAATCTCTTAAAATGTAAATATAGATTTATATTAAAAGATTTCATTTTATATGAAATTTGTATTAAATTTTTAAAAATTAAAATTAAAATAGTTATTTTTTAAAACTACAAGGATAAAAATAAATATTTTAAAAGTACGTTGACTAAAATAAATAAATTTAAAAATATAAAGATCAAAATGAATAATTTGAAAGTACAAGGACAAAAATAAAACTAAAGTGGAAAGTACAATATACCTCGAGTCTAAGATTAATTGAAATAGGTGATCTAAAATTTATGTAAAAAATAATAAAAAATGTTATGAGTGATAAATGAATTAAATTTTGATCATAGTTTAGGAATCAAAATACAATATTTCAAGGTCCACGGACAAAAATGTAAATTTTGGTAAAAGTTGAGAGAGACAAGAATAGGATTGATCAATAATTTTTTTTTTCCATTTTTATTTATACATTTAGAAAACAATAAACAAGAAATTAACAGGCCTATATTTATACACATTTTTATTTTACAAGAAGCAAAAATGTGTTCTTCCAAACATATATAGCTCAGTCGATAAGACACTAATGGTCTTTGTTGAGATCGAAGGTTCAAATCTCATTTTCTTGTATAATGAAACAAAAAACAAAAAAGAAAGAATGTATCCAAGATGATCTCGAGAATGTCTTTATACGAACACTGATATGGTAGCCGATTCAATCAAACGTGTACTCTCTCTCTCCTCCCTCTCTCTCTAAGAATATGTTGTTAATGGTAGCCAATCCAACAAGAGAGTTAAGAAACATCAACCAAACTCTATCTCCATAGCCCCTCCCCAATTGGGTTTTATGTTTGTGGGGAGAAATCCTTTCAACTCTCTCATCAAGTTGCTTTCCAATCCCTAGGGGTAGTTTTAAGGCACCACACCATCACATGAATGCCCTCTCAAACCTCCAAAACAAATTCCCTATCCCACACAAGTTTACATCCTCCCTCCTTGTCTTTTTGGCCTCATATAAGGGTATTTTCGTCATTTAGTACTTATTTTCTCCCCCGAAAAATTAGTATCGTTTTGGGGGTAGGGGTGTTCGTGGGTTGGATGTTGGATTGGGTTGAAGAACTTTTTAGACCCAAACCAATTATTCTTCAAGTTGTAATTAATTTTATTATACCCAAATAACTCTTATTAAATAATGAATCAGCCCAACCCAACTCAATCACAAAATATTTGGATTGAGTTAGTTCGCATTATTCAAGTCACTCATTCAAAATATTGTATAATAAAAATAAATAAATAGTCTCAAACATTTATTTATATATTTTCTAATATTGATTCAAGAGCTTATACAGCGAAAAATTACACCCAAAACCTAAAAAAGTTATTTTTATAAAGTTGTTGGAGAATAAATAATCAAATTATTGAATGAAATAAAATTAAAATAAATATATCTATATATAATTTTAGGATAAGTAAAAGAATAAATTGTTTAAAAATTAATTATAAGTTCGGGTTGGTTAAGTTCAAATCCAAATTTATTTTAGGTGAACCATTTAACCAATCTAATTTCTAGAGTTTTCATTTGTTTAAATCCAACTCAATCTAGGCAAGTTTATAATCCAACTGAACCTAAATCGTACANGATTTCACTTATTTGGATCAAGATTTTGAATGACATGAGACTGATTTTTTTGGATAATAACTTGTTAATTTAAAATGAAAATACATTTTTAAGCCAATTCTTAACAAAAAAAAAAATATTTTTTTCTTTCTTTTGGTCTTAGCCTCTTAGGTCATATTAAAGACACAGGTCCATTTAGTAATTTTCAACCATGAATAAGCAATAGATCGGCTAGAGATAAAAACATGTAGGGGTATGCAGGGGCTGTTGGGAAATGTTTCTATTTTTGAATTTCTATTTTTTATTTTCAGTTTTATAGAAATATAAGTGTTAGGTAATTATTTTTATGAAATATTTCCAAAATTTTATACAAATTTTAGAAACAAAGAATATGAAATAATAAATAAGAATGTTACCAAAATGGCCTGTAACTTCTCATTTTGTTCAATTTACTTGAAAACATAGCAACAAAAATAGGACATATGTATTGAATTATCGATTAATATGTATTTTAATTATTATGATATATCTCTATTCATCGTGAAATCTAAGTTTTTTTTAGTACAATATATTGAGGTGGAGGATCGAACTCATAACCTCTTTGTTGGAGATATATATCAATTATCGCTGAATTACGTTCGTTTTGACAGCTATAGTTGACGAAAAAATTGATTATTTTTTTCAAATCAAGTTAATGAATTTTTAGGAAAGGTTACATTTGCAATTACGATTTTATTTAAATTTTCTTTGAAATTATTTCTATAAAAATGTACATCCATAAACAAGAAAAATGATCCAACCCAATAAATTTCTCAAAAATTCTGCTACCATTTTGGTGGCTATCAGGCCCAAAATATGGTCTATAATGCCCCTAGCCCAACAAAACTTCTTAACACTTCTTTTTTTTCCCTTCTTTCATTATTATTATTATTATTTTAAGAAATAAGATGTATTAAAATTAAGAAACAAGTATATTTGCGGCGATTAAAGAAGATAGCCAAATTATGTCCACTCACGAATGGTTAGCAAATATATGTATATTTTCGATAAAAGAAGAAATAAGAAATAGAAAACACCGTTATTTATTTATTTATTTAAAAAATAGTTTACAAGAAATGAGAAATAGAAATAAGAACAGAAACGAAAAAACAAAAAATAGGAACAAAAACATTACCAAACAGATCTTAAGTCTCCAAATCTCCAATAAACTAGACGAGCAGATGATCATTGCTATTTCATGAGCATGTATTATTAGGAGGTCATCTAGTCGAAGATTGTTACAAGTCAAGCATGCTTAACTTTGGAGTTCTTACGATTGAGTTACTGAAAAAGAATGTGCACTTTGTTAGTATAGATAGTAACTAACAATTCTTTTAAATTTTTTTTAACCATGTTTACATAGTCTCAGGATCCCTCTCATTCCAATATGGTATATTCACTGATTCTTGTTGAATAAAGATAGATGAAATGGTGATGAAGAACATTAATTATCCCTATATAGTCAAACGATATAAGTATACACAATAACCACACCATATTCATTTATTTATAAACACGGTAACATTCCACACCTGCATATAACTTCTCCCACACATAACTAATACGTACATTTATTTCTCCCGACAAAGATAATTGAAGGTAGAAGGATTTGAACCCAAGACGAGTCGTATTTTTGCTAGTTGAACTATCTCTACGACACTCGAAACCATTACATAAGATTATGACACATAATTTCATTTCATATACCCACTCTTTTTTTTCTCCAACTAGAAATATTGTGTTTTTCTTAGGCAATGGCTTCCTCGAGCATTCTTGCACCCAAAATGTGTTTGATCCAAGCATGTTTGTGAAGGTTCTTTGGTTCTCTCTTGTCTCCAAATTGCACACCTTCGAGCGAGTGTGAAATGGCGTAATTGCCCTTTGAATACTCCTCTCGGATTTTGTTCTCCTTCTCTACCGCTTCGTGGAACTCAGTAGCCTAAAACACACGTACATGGAATTTTTTATTTTATTTATTACATATCATTTCGAATAATCTTCATCTTCAAATTTTTGTTATTTATAAGCAAAGGTATTAAATTTTCATCGGTACATCGATATTTCCATCGACATTTTCACATGTTGATTTGACATTGACAAGAAGGGTGAATCAACATTTTCAATATAGCATCACAAAAAAATCGACAAAATATAAAAAATTATCAACAAAATATCACTAATATGAACCTAATCGTAATATTACCAATTTTTAACTTATTAAAAAAATTGGTGAAAAACTAATTATTTGTTAATTTAAATATTTGTTTAGAATTCTTATATTTTTATAAATTTTTCAGAAATATCTATTGATATCGACATTTTACCAACATTTATATAAAATTGAGATCTCGATATTTCATCGACATCGACATTTAAAATAATGTTTCTAACCGTTATAATGAAAATAATAATAATAAAATTTTAAATAAATTATTAATATTTTCACTAAAAATTTGTTCCAAACGAACAAAAATAAAACTAATTGGTTTGAAATTATTCTCAAACAAACTTTTATTATATATGGGTGAATGTTTAGTCATCCAATGATCAGTAAACTTCGAATAATAAATCCATTTTAATATAGACAAAACGAGCGTAGCTCAGCGATAATTGACATATACTTCTGACCAATAGGTTGTGAGTTCGAATTCCCTCCCCGACATGTTCTACTAAAAAAAAAGAAGTTTGAATTCTCGCCCCTTTATACGGACTAATTAATAGAAGAATTAGTTTATGGTATAAAGTCAACTCGATTCTCCAACCTTAAGATTGAGGTTATAATATCCTAACCACTTAAGTTTAGATTGACAATAAAAATCACACTGTTTGTGACATCTTTCTAAATACGTATTAAAATTATCGAGTGAAATTTATAAATTGTTTTATTTGAATCAATAAAATGAAAAATAAAATGATGTAAATGATTGTATTTACCTGGGTGGCATTGAAATGGAAAGAAGAAAGAGCGAGGGAAGCCATCAAGGGGTGGCAAGAAGTAGAGTCATCAGACTTTTCAGCAACCACCATGAATGAAGGATATATTGCTTTTTTTGCTGAATTTTCAGCTACTGCCTCAATACTTGTTTTCCATCCTCGTCGGAGCTCGGAGAACAGCAAACCTGAAAACCGACGAAGGGCGGGTTCGAAGAAATGACTTTATTAAAGTGTAAAATGAATGAAATAATTAACGGTAAGCTTGGTTAAGATAATGTATTTGGTAGCAGATATGAAAATTGAATCTAAACGGAAGAAAAAAAAAATCAAAGTCATTGATTATCCTACTAAATATTTAGTTTAATGTAAAATATTAATGTTATAAATCTTGATGGAATTAATATTTCACAATATTATATAATTTATAATATATTATATTTTAAATATTCTAATTTTAACCAAAATTAAATAAGTTTATAACATCAATATTTATTAAAGTTTTTATCTTTTTAAATATAATTATGCATTTTGAAGTCTTAGATTTAAAATATGCAAAACATAAAAATCAGAATTTTCAATTATAGAATCCGAAAATAATTTTTGGAAACAACGTCCTGCCAAACAAATATTCATTGAATCCATCTGATTGAGTGGATCTGAAAAACAAGAGATAATATTTGAATTCTCTAGCATACAGATCTTAGTATTATTTAGTCAATAAAAATACTCAAACTAAAGAATATCAAATACAATCCAAGTTGAGTATAATTTTTCAAACAGCTCAAAAACCTGAGACATACAGGTGTTTATTTATTTATTGTTATTATTTTTTTCAATCTTGTATATAAAAAATGAGGTGGAAAATAATATAAGAGAAAAGATTGAGGAGTACCTAAAACATGAGGTTCTGCAAAGGTAAAGCAAATGAATTTCCCTCCAGATTTGGTGACCCTTTTCATCTGAACACGTCATAAAAAGAGAATCAATCCAAAACTCGAGTATAGACAAATAGAAATATGTTCGTTGTTATTCCTAATGTTGATGGTTCGAACTCCACCCTATAACTGTTCAACTCAAAGAAAAGAAATCGTTTTAATCTTTACCGTTCTCATATTTTTATTTATTTACCTGATGTGTAAATGTATATGTGCAACGATTAAAATTCATGTTAGATAATTAATAAATATTAATGATAAAGATAAAATAATTTTTTTATACCAATATTTAAGAGACCAATTTAAAATTGAGAGACTAAAAATATCATTTTAAAATTTAAAAAATCAAAATAAAATTAGTACACAAATTGAGAGAAGAAAATAGTACGTATTTAAATTTAATATAATATTTGTGATACTTAAAAAAAAGTAGTATTTTAATGATGATTAGTAAATTTTTACGATCTACTAACACTAAAAAATTATTTATAAATACAAAACTATAATATGATATTAGAATTTTTTTTTGTAACCATCAAATAAAAAAATTAAAAGCCGAAAACCTCGGACAAATATTGATTTGCCAGCATGGCTCCATCCTCAGCTTCGACAAGTGCATCCAATCCTCCTTTGTCAATAATTGCATCAAAGCTTTCATCCAAAAACTGCAAAATATTTTCCCACAAAATTATTTTATTAAAATTACTAGCCAACCCGATCGTAGCTCAATAGTTAATATAGAATCTTTGATTTATAAAATAAAAGTTATCAAAACTAGTCACCTGCATGCTAGTCATGTCCATGACGCGCCACCGCATATAAGGACGTTGACGAGTGTTACGACGGGACATATTAGAAATAGCAACTTTAGCAAAGTCGATGTTGGTGATGCTTTGAAAGCCAACATCGTAGAGGTGTTCGGAAAGGCGGGAAACACCGCATCCTGGAATCAGAATTTGGGAAGCCGAGGAGGCAGAGAGATGAGAGAGAAGGAGGTCGCAGAGCTCCGGCCACTCGACATACCACTCGTAAGGGTTGTCGAGTTGCCGGCCGGCGAAGAACTTGTCCCAACCTTCTTTGTTGGAGAAGTCTCCTAGGCTCTCCAAGATGTCTCTCTTCCCCATATTCTTTTTAATTTTCTATCTCTCAAAGCTTATACTATCTTGATTTAGCTCATGCATGTTTTGATTTGTGTTTCATCCCCTTATATAGAGAATTGATCTTCATATGGGGGCATTAACGTAAATATGTTAACTTATTAGGTTAAATTATAAGTTTGATCCGTAAACTTTTAAGATTTGTATCTGATATTATGTTATTGTACTTTAAAAATGTCTTCGAACGATTCATACATAACACTATTTACAGTGTCGCCTACTTAGAAATTAATTTCTTATATGTTTTATTGGTAATAAAATATAGTAGGATTAGGTAGTTCTCTCCCGAAATTAATCGAGATGTGCGCATAAACTGGTCCGGACACTTCTTATAGATATCATAAAGGGAAAAATATCTTTAAATCAAGTACTTAAATTTTGAATTTTGTAGGTCTCAACTTATTAGTGGAGTCGAACAATCTCATTTAGAAACTATAGAGATAAGAAATAGTGGACCCGCGAAACATTGTCAAGATGGGTACAAGTCTATGCAATTTCTGAATTTTTTGTAATTTTACCAAAAAAAAAAAGAAAGAAAAAAAACCCTACATATTATAGAGAAAATTAATCCTACTTCATTTTGATACATATCATGGGCCCAAACACACTTGCTGAAAAATGGGTACTAATTTACATTTTTTAAAGTTCGGGAATTTAATAAACACGTAATTAAAAGTGCGGACATGTTAGGATGATAGTGTACTTTTAAAGTTTAGAGACTAATTCAACACAAAATGAGGGTGGTATGGTAATTTTGACAAGTTATAGTTAGTATTCAATATTTCCTTCATTATACAGATGAATATTTTTATATGAAAAAAAAAGAGCAAATTATTTGATAGTCGAACCAATAATAATAATAATTTGGGTGAACCAAAATGATTAGATAGGGAGATATATATATATATTAAACAAAAATATCATTGTTTTACTTTTCTCCACAACCATAACTTTTCCCGGCAACTAAATGCAAAAAGCCAAAAACTCCATTATTAATAAGTAAAGATTATGTTTTTTTATTTATATAAAAAAACTATTAGTCCCTAAAATTTGAGACATAATTTATTTTGATAATTTAAATTTGAGACATAATTTATTTTGATAATTTTTTTAATAAAATAAATATGGAGTATGAAAATTTAAATATCAACCCCAATAGAAGAAATAATAGTTGTTATTTATTGCTGAAATATACTCTTATTAATTTATTTTAATGAGATTCAAATAGTAACATTAAATATCGAAATAAATGCTATTTCCTGCCGAAAAATGTCCATATTAATTTATTTTAATGAGTTTCACATAGTGACATTAAAGATTTGATTTTATGAATTATTCAAATGGATATCCCTAAATTCTTGTTTCATTATATCCATGAAAATTTGAATGAGTTTATTTAATATGGATGTAATTTTTATTTATTATTTTTTTTACACCAAGTGGACGGTAGAAATTCGAACTCACTACCTTGTGGTTGGAAATAAGTATCTTAACTAGTTACATTTGCAATATAAACATAATTAATTTGCTTATAGAAATTGAGGAGATAAATTATGACTTTTTTCTTGGGTCAACAAAAATAGTCATTACTATCAAAGCGGACAGACATATATCTCCAACTGAAAGGTTATTAGAATTCGATGTCCACCCTCAATATTGTAGTCAGAAAGGAAACAAAAAAGGCAAAAATAGTCATTGCCTTACTTTTCTTCACAACCATAATTAGCTTTTAATTTCCAAGCAAATAAATACAAACTCCATCATTCATGAATATATATATTTTTTCTTTATAAAAAAAAGAAAAATTAGTCCCTAGAGATGATGATTTATTTTGATATTGTTCCATTAAACCAATGAAAATTTGAATGAGTATATATATTATGGATGCAATTTACTTGCTTATATAAATGAGGGAAAAAATGACCGTTTCTCCTCAACAAGAAACAAACATTTCTCATCTAGATTTGGAAAGGCGAGGAAGGCACGTCTCTAATCAATAAAGGATATATATTCCTCGCCTTTCCAAATCGATATCGTCTACATCTAAAACGTCGTTCCAGATCTATAAAGTGAATGTTTGGAATAAAAAATTGTTACGCGACTAACGGTCAAAAAAATATAGTCAATGGTTTATAATTATTTTCTAAATTTTAGAATTACGTATTCTTTTCGGAGATTTAGAGATTAAATACACATCAATCACAACTCTCAAAACGAAAAGTATATCTTACCTTAAAACTATTTGTGCTATAGATGTCATTTTCCAATTGAAATATCTAAGAGCAATAATTTCTTCACATGGTGGGATCAATCCCAAATTTTTAAAAAGAAAAAAAATTAAATCAAACTAATTTAATGTGACTTAACATAGAACATGACAAAAAACTTCTTATCCATTTTTTTAAGGGCAAAAACCGTCTATATATTTCTCTCTTATTTCAATTTATTTCACTAAATTGAAATGAAATTTAAGTATGGTGGAGAATAATTAAAGAGGTAATCTATCAATTCATATAGTTCAATCGGTCACGCTKGCGCTATTTATTAAATTATTAGACATCTTATGAAGTATTATTATTATTTAAACATGGGAATGAATGATTTCTATGTTAAAATGGTAGAAAATTGTATTTGAACTTACGACATCTTAAAAGAGATAGAAATACTTTAACTACGGATTATGTTCCGATTGGCTAATATTGATTAAATCTGGTACTTAAATTGATGAGTTAGATTTAACTTTGAAATTTTAATTTCATTAAATTTAAACCCCTAAATTAAACTTGAGTATATAGTCAAATCAATAAGCTTGATTTTTCTTTTTCTTATTTTTTTGGGAATTTTGAATAGGAATAAGTGCTGGCTGACTAAACTGGACAATTTTGTGGTTGTGGGGTGTCACGGTCGTACATTTTTCAACCGCGCGGCGCCATGATCTAAACTCGACCATGGCCAGCCTTTACGAGGAACTCTAGCCCCAATCTACTTTTCACGCCCTTTGTGGCTTCGTCGGACCTTGGACGAGGTTCTTTCTCCCTCGACTCAGCTTCATTTCGCTTTTCCAACCATCTTGGCTCTCGATCACTCGACTGTCCCGCTCCTACGATGAGCCAG